ACATTTTGCTTATTGGATTTGTTAAACTCGAGGCAGAGCAATGGTTTCTCAAATTGAAATAATATTGAAACTCGTTTTGTGTTTGGTTCACGCTCGATTGAGACTGCTCCAGCATTTTTCCTGGTCAGTATCGAAAAAGAAACGTCTTTTTTTTGTCTTTCTTCCTTCCGCTTCTCGAACCTGTTCACAGGCTCGACAAGACGTTTTACATTTTTCCTTCCCCAGTTACGCAAAATATTATCTAAATTCTAAAACCCATCGGTATTTTAAAAAAAAATAACACACACACAGGGGGAAAATGTTTCTCCTCCCGTGAATCATAGATCGTAGATACCATCCAGTTTTTCTCCTTTCATTGCCATTGTCACGTGTTAAGTATTTTATTTTTACACTACAAGTCCTTTTCCTGCTCGTATTGGCACACTCGACCTTTTATTGAGATACTAACACTCACATCCCTTTGTTTTTAGATATCAACGAGTGCGCTGCGAAGGTCAACCCTTGTGTTGCTGTTGCTAACTCTGTGTGCAAGAATAAGGTTGGATCGTACAACTGCCAGTGCAAAGATGGATTTGTATAGAACGGTCGTAATTGTGAAGGTGCAACATAGTTTTTATGATTAGTAGTTTTACTTCCGTTTCTCAGTTGGTGAGCGGACGAAATCTAACAAATCCTGCCATTTGATTGGTTCCGGCAGTGGACTGAATTTTCCCATCCGGCTGCTCACGGCGGGCGGAATCGTGGTTTTTTGCGTGAACGAATTAGCGATAATCATCAATCTTTTGCCTTTTTTACTCTTCTATCGACGATAAATCAACGCAAGTTTATCTCTACTAACTTTTAAATGGCAAGGAAAGTCACTGTAACTAAATTCAATTGAATGTCTTAAAGTTGTGCGGATTTGTTTGGTTGTTTTTAGTTTGGCGCTATAAGGGCGGGTAATCCAGTGTTATTCTCGCCGTACAATTTTAAGTAAAAAATGAGTGAATTCAGTAGAGTTTACTTCTCTGATCGTTGCTGTATTTAAGAGAATTTCTGTGGAATACACTTAAAAAAATTTCCCCGCTTTTTGTCTTTCAATTTACGGTAGAAAAGTTTGATTTCAAGTGATTCGCCACGACTGACAGAAATTGTTTTTGTAGTACAACTTCAAACTTTGCATGCGCTAAATTTAACAACGGAAAAAAAAAATTGCGAGAGCTTAACTGTTGAACTAAATGCAACTGACGTAAAGTAGTTCGAAACAAATCTGTTTTTTCATAATATATCTTTTTTGCCTAATATGTGAATTACTCGCTTGTTGTGAAAATTTGTTTTCGAGAACTTGTTAGTAGACGGCACGTAAGCCGATTGAATGACAAAGTGGCAAACCGTGATTTGAAACTAAAACCAATTTACCGCAGAAAAACTCAAAACCTTGGGCACAGTTTTTCCCGATACCGATCACTTGGCCGGCAAATTTGCACTTGAGATTATGTCGGAGTGCGATAGATATAATAGGGAGCTTAAGAAACCACGACGGCGACGCCGAGGACAACGTCGGTTAAAAAAATGATTTTATATTTTACCTCCGAATCTCGCGGTACCCTAAAGTCATTTACTTTTTCTATCGCTGTCAAAGCTATCACGAAACTGAATTTAAGACACATCGGTAAATTCGAAATAAAAATTTAAAAAATTGGCCGTCGTGGTTCACGTTCTCCAGACAACGCAGAATTTGGTCATTTCACGTTGTTTTCTTGGAGAGAACGGCAGAGAAATGTACCAAGAATTATAACGCACACGCACAGCCATTGCTCCGCTCATTAAGGTAATTCCCCTGAAATAAAACTGTCGATAGATTTTTGTTCAAACTTTGTCCACTGAATATTTATCATATGAGAACTTTAATTATAAAATAAAAAGGGAGTGTCCATGCTCGTTAAGGAGCAGTGAGGCGTTGAAAACGTCCCATTTTAGCATTATTTAGTGCTGACTGCAAGAACGCATTCCAATTTATTGTAAAATCTTCGTGAGCTTAGACTCACGAAAACACGCCTCAAACTACAGTCAATACTTAGGTCGGACACAAATAAACTTTTTAAGTTTGATTATGACAGACAGCTGAATCCTTGTTAAAATATTGGAACCAAATTGCTGGCCACGGCTATCAAACTGCAAATAGAAAAGACTACAGTGCAGCTGCTATTTTCCTTATTTCCTCAATTTTTAGCAAGAGAAATCAGATCAGTCTTTTCTCACGCAAAGCTAATGATTAGTTGATTAAAACGACTAGAAAAAAAAAATCGGGGTGCCCGAGCTCGTTAGTGTGCTAGAGCCATTTTTCAACTGACAGAACTCAATATCAAAGCAAATCCGCCATGTTTTCAATGTGCGCGTGCGCGAGCGCGCGCTAGTGACGCCATAAATTATGCACCGTAAGGATGCGCAATGAAAATGTGAGGAATCACCTTAAACCTTTTGTTTAGCGACGTTGCCGTTGCCGTTGCCATCGTGGTTTTCTTAAGCTCCTTAGTAAGACGGCCGTAAGCTGTAGTGAACCACACTGTTGTGCCCTGGTTTCTGACCGGTCGGCCTGGCATAATGGGAAGCATCCCATAGAAGGTATGTTAACAGGAGGAGAGAATTTGGCTGCTCAGCTAAGGATTAGTTCAACTTCATATTTTGGCCCGGAAAAAACGAAACTGTTTGAATGGCTATCAGTCCGCTTTGCATAAGCTAGTAGAAGTATGTTTACCATTTCTTGTTTTCTGAATCGTCTGTCATAGCCTCAGTTTCCTCCAACTATGCTTTTGAACGAGCAGCAGACATCCATACTGAAAAAGATGTTACGGAAAGCAATATTGACAGTGTTTACAAGTCGTCTCGTATAATTAGTAAGATGCCAATTTAAAGCGAATTTCTATATTTGAAATAAATTGACAATTCGGAACGAATAAAACGAGGAACACGGACAATTCCTGAAAATTCCTGAAAATTCCAGGACATCAGTCAATCAGTCATTGAATGATTACTCTAAGGGTTTCTTGAGCTTGTGATACGAAGAAATGCTTTTATTACCGAAAACCATTTTAGACTACTGATAGGGAAAGATAAATGTGAATATGACAGCGCGCTACCTAGGCTGAGGGCGAGTAGCTTTATAAGGACGTTGCCTCTGGAAAAGACGTAATATAAAAATAAATATCTGTTGTAGGTTCACTCACTCACTGCCCATTGTGCCCACTGGCACGTAGGGCAGTTTGCTGTAGGTTGTTTTTGCTCAAACTCTCGGCTTCGCCAATCATGGAAATAAAAGTGAATATTTTTCTGAGCGAAATCAAAACCTAAACACTCAGTTTCGACACAGTAACGGACCCATTAGTTCATTGTCGAAAGAGGGTGCAAAGAGTTTATGAGTGACACGTGACGAAGGCAAAAATTAGTGTGACATGGGAAAAACAACTGAAAGACACATGGGATTCGTGAATTTATGAAAAAGGTTTGGTTAAAAGCAGCTAAAAGTATAGATGATGGGTGAATTTTGTCAAAATTCGTGCGTGAAACGAGAAGAATCCCCCACCCCCTCCACCCCTTCCCCCTACCTCCCCTCCAAAGTTTCTTTGCCGCAATTGTCGATTTCAGTTGACCACGTTTTGAATTAATTTGCATTCTTCCGCCAAACGAGAAACAGATGTCCTAATAACGACATTTTTGCCTGCATTTTTGCCCGCATCTGATTCGCTGTAGGGCTGAATACTAAGATTTAAACAAATGTTTATTACGTGAAGTAATAGGAGCCTCATATTTTCAACGAGATGGGAACAGAGAAACCTCAAATCAGACCAAATTAGAAAACGCGAAACTGGTACGCTTTGTAAACATAACTCAGGATCAGGAGGCGGCCGGCGCTACCCGTGAGAAGTGCAGCATTGCGGTTTATCACTATATCCTGACTAATTATCACTTGTAATATATCAAGAAATATCTTCTATGGTTCTTGTTAGCGATGTTGCTAATATCATGATTTATCACCGGTTTTTATAAGGGATTGATTTTTTGATATTCCACATTAAGTTTTCATCATATAAGCATGTTATCATGATATTATCAGAATATTTAATTAAGTAAGAATTTCTTCTTCCCTGCCACTTTTTCATCATTATCGAAAAGAAAACATCAAAAGCCCTTCACAAATTATGTTTATGGTAACTTAATATTGGTCTGAACTAAGGAACCAACCATAACGCAGGTCTGAAACAGGGTTTTGATTTAAGGGACAGGTCATAAAGCACCCCCCCCTCCCCCGAGGTTATAAGGTTATAACATGCTCTTCATAAAGAAGAAAAAGTCCAGCCATCTCCATATAAAGTTACCTTACCTTACCGTACCTTACCTCACTGCTATAAAATACGTTGGTTTCTTTCATTACTTCACTCTGAATACATTTTATATCTGTCTGGATTCGCAAAAACATAGCCGGCCACAGATTTGATTTGCGATAAATGATTTAAAAAATAGATAAATAAATGAAATATGCAGTAAGAAATTCTCTACATTCCATGCTAGGTAAGATTTACAAGCTGCTGCCATAGCGAAAGCAAAACAAAAAATAATAAAATAAATAAAAAAAATAAAATAAATATATAAAAATCGCTTGATTCAGTCTTTAATACTGTTTTTATAAATCCAGACCAAGAGCCCCGATTATGGCTTCTGTTATCAGTAAATTTCATTTCATTGCATTTTGTTATTATTGATTGATATTATATTTTATTTTTTCTTCGCATACATGGAACGTTTATCCACTTGGGTAGAAATTCAACCAGACTTACCCCCTCCACCTACCTTAAATAATGTCAAGTGTAGACTAGGCAAATTAACAAAGAAATTTTTTTCAAACCTCTATAAGGTTGTCATGTTTCAGATATGATTACATAAAATACTGATAAGAGGATTTTCCAAAATCATCACCACAGTAAAGCTTACGACGATGAACCTTGACATATTTTGATCCACAGTTTCCAAAGGCTGTGCTGACAGTTACAAATCTGGAGAAAAGACAAACGGTGTTTATACGATCAACCCAGATGGTACAGGGATCATTAAAGTGTTCTGTGACCAAACAACAGCCGGAGGAGGGTGGTTAGTATTCCAGAAGAGACTGGACGGTTCGGTGGATTTCTACCGAGGCTGGAACCAGTACAAACGTGGCTTTGGATCTCCGACTGGTGAATTTTGGCTCGGGCTTGACAACATACATCGTCTGACTAGCAGTGGAAGTTACAAGCTTCGCGTTGATCTGGAAGACTTCGCAGGGAACACCTATTACGCCGAATACGATTTCTTTAAAGTGGCGAGTGAGGGAGAGAAATACAAACTGAGCGTGGGAAGCTACTCAGGTTTGAATTTTTACGTTCTTTGATAACTATGATCTCAGTTAGATCGAATTCTGTTGACATTAAGTACCAACAGACCCAATAAGCTCCTTGATTTCTTTCATCTCGTACTATGTTGTGGAAAATGTTTTTCTTGGTAGGACCAAACTGAAGTTTGTCATAGTATTTATAATTACTAACTAAATGGGGCGGTGTATGAAGCAAGCAACTAAATGATTATCATTTTAGTGGCACGCATGAGTGGAAATTTGTGTCTGAGCAAAGTCAGGTTATGGACAAAGCCAAGATTTCAATTTCGGGGATGAAGGAAGGTCAAGAGGGGGAAGGCAGAATTTAAGCTAGTAAACTCCATAAGTTTCCTTTTGCTGGTTATCACAGCTTTTGGTAGCCTGAGTCTATTTTATTTTCCGAGAGGTGTATTATTAAGCTGGGAGGGGGCGTGGGGATGCGAACAGCTTAACGAGCGAAGGTACTCAGTATTTGTTCGTCTCTTTTAAAACCAGTATTCTTGTCCTCTCCAAGACTCTTCTTCAAATACAGTCACTTTTCAAATTCCGAAAAGACATTCTGAACGTTTTAAAAATGCCTTTTTTAAAAAAGACTTAGTTTTAGATAAAAATTAGCAACGTAGACTTTTCAATTTCTTGTCTATTTAATGATTTTAATTTAGCACTTTTTGTCAATTTTTGATATTGTAAGTGCCTATTAAATATTCCAGCTAATTCTACTTTGTAACATTTGATATGTTTTTTTTTCAAATGAATAAAGACATTATCACTATCATTATCATCACATGTAACTATTTTACCCGAGAAAGTAAACCTAAGTTAAAAAAAAATCAACATACCGTAAAATCCTCCGTAAAATCATTACTTAACTGTTCTACGAAAATGTAAACAAGAGACAGCGCCTAGCTCGAAAAGCCATGAACTAAAAATATCTAGAGAATACATCATAACTTTACTTTCTTGAGATCTCCAGGTAATGCATTTTCTGGCAATCAGAGGACCATCTAAAAGAATAATCATAACTATAAATTCAATATTAAGACAGAGCCACGATGTCCCAGGATGGACGCAACAAAATATATCAGTTCCATTCTCAGTAACTAAGGATCAAGTAGATGATCATGGAACTTTGTTTCTCACTCAAAGAACGTCGACACTAACTAGACGCAAGTGAAATTCTTAATCTGCTTAAATGAGCGCTGACTATGCCTCTGTCGAGCTGTTACAAAAACATTGCTTTTAAAGTTAATTATATTTTGAATTATTATCAATAGGTCATTTCCGACTTTCCTTGTGCCTCTGTTTCAAAACGAGTCTTCGTGTAAAACCTTTCTTATGAAAATGAGTTTGATTTGCATGAAAATGAACATGTAGGCGGAACACATTTTCATATGAATGGTTTCGCACGAAGACTCGTTTTGACACCGAGGCACGCGGCAACTCGTAAATGGCCTATTAGCACTATCTTATCTTTGTAGTAGTAACCTTTGTCACATTTTGTAATCATAAAAGTTTCTAAAACGTTATGATACTAATCGCCGTAACTTTAAAAGCTCATATAAGCGCAAATATGCGCTTATAAGCGCAAATCATCTTGTGACATGGGAATACTTTATCTTATTTTTGTTTCTATAATGCTTTGTTTAGGAACTGCTGGAGATAAGCTGACTTATCATAATGGCCAAAAATTCTCTACAAAAGATCAGGATAACGACATATCTACAGTTAACTGTGCCGCAGTAAATCTAATAAGAGGAGCCTGGTGGTACGGTGACTGTAAACTGAGCAACCTAAATGGTGTCTATCGGAACGGAGCGGACAATGGTACTATGGTATGGGATAACATTTACCCCATTAAGAGAGCAGAAATGAAGATCAGGCCGGTGGATTTTTAGAATAAGCACTTTAGGTGAAACCCTTTTTCTTACTCCCCTGTTCTTAATCTTAGTAAGACTCATTGTCCCTGACCGTATTTAGCTAGTCCTAGTCCTAGACAAATAGGCGGAAAATGGCGGAACTGTTTTGTCTAGGGAGAAGATAAAGACGTCGTATTACTCGCGCTATTTATGCAGAAGTTTCATGCACTTCATTAATATCAACTAAGTTAGTCCAACGGGCAAATACTTGCAACAAAAAGCATTCAGTCGGATTGCTTCGTGCAAGGGACTGTGACGCAACGGATCTGTTGGCACGAATTTTACGATATGTTTGGGATCTATTTGGTATACATATTTGTTCATTTTGGCACTTACTGGCATTTACTCAAGCGACTTTTATTCATATTTGAACAACACGGCATTTCATTTATTCACAATTTTCTCCTGCCATCGATATAACTAATTATGACGGGACATATTCCCTGATAGTCTTTTAGTATGTCGGTTTGCTTGTGGGAGAGGAGTTTCCTATTTTTATTATTTTGGGCTCGTTTTTTGAGGGATTGAATACATTAAGGGTGTTTATCATAATCAAATCTTGATATGGGGTAAACAATTGACAAGGGATCGTTTTAGGGACTTATCGCGAAAATTACCAAAGGGTTAATAAACCACCTGGAAACGAAATATGTTCTTTTACAAAAAGTTCTAAGCCCTGTTCATTGATAATTGAACCGGCAATCGAATGTTAAAGGTAAAGGAAACATCAAAAAATGCTAATATATAGCTTTGGAAAGAAGTTTGGTTTTTGTGGTTTATTTACTTTTGGATAACTGATAACATTTATTTAGCACACTTTTATCGACACTTTGAGAGCCCGATGTGTTTATGGTAGCTGACTGCGTTTCGGTAGCTTTTCAATATATATATCTGTTTTGGCTTACAAAAGAGCCTTCTTCGGCCCCGTACCTATAGAAATCTG